ATAACGAGAATCCACTTTGGAAACATGATGCTGAATGAAAGCCAGACACAAAAGGCCACATACAGTAGGATTCCATTTATATGAAATGTCCAGAATAGAGATGGAAAGTAGATTAGTTTCCAGGGCTTGGGGGTTGAGGAAAGCAATGACTGTGAATGAAAATGTGCTTGAACTAACAGTGGTGAAGGCTGGATAATTTTGTGAATATACTAAAACCCAAAGAAATTTGGGCACCTGGGTGGCTCAGTGGTTGAGCGTCTGATTTTGGCTCATGATCTCAGGGTCCTGGAATCAAGACCCGCCACAGGCTCTGCATTCAGCATGGAGCCTGCTTCTCTCTTTCTCTCTGCCCCTCTCCCTGCTCATTCTCTCTCTCTTTCTCTCTCTTTCAAATAAATAAAATCTTTTTTAAAAAATTAAAAATATATTAGAACAGAAAATGTCAAAGAATAGCCAAAATATAAATATTAAAGGGACAGCAATGTGAGACCTGCCTTTCCATATATTAATATGTATAAACCCATTGCAATCAAAACAGATACAGGCACAGGAGTAAACCCCTGTTGAACTGAAGAGAAAATCACATCCAAATTATACGCAAACTACCATATGATAAAGGTGGCATTTTGTTTTTGTCTTTATTTCGTTTTGTTTTGTTTTTAGGGACTTGAACTCACGACTGAGATCAAGACATGAGCTGGGATCAAGAGTCAGATGCTTAGGGGTGCCTGAGTGGCAGTCAGTTGAACACCTGACTCTTGGTCTCCACTTGGATGATGATCTCGGGGTTGTGGGATGGGGCCCTGCCTCTGGTTCTGCCCTCAGGGCCGAGTCTGCTTGAGTTTCTCTGCTCCTCTCCCATGCACTCTATCTCTCTAAATTAAATAAATCTAAAAAAAGAAAAGTAAAATGTTTAACCAACTGAGCCACTCAGATGCCCCTTTAGGCACTCCGATAAAGGTGGCATTTTATTTATTTTTTTTTATTATTTATTTATGATAGTCACAGACAGGGAGAGAGAGAGAGAGGCAGAGACACAGGCAGAGGGAGAAGCAGGCTCCATGCACCGGAAGCCCGACGTGGGACTCGATCCCGGGTCTCCAGGATCGCGCCCTGGGCCAAAGGCAGGCGCCAAACCGCTGCGCCACCCAGGGATCCCCAAAGGTGGCATTTTAATTCAGTGAGAAAGCATTTAATAAATGTGTATGGTTGGTTAGGCATTTGGAAGAAAACAAAAACTCCCTACTTTATGCCAAATACAAAACTACATTCTAGATGAATTATAGATTTACATGTAGAAATAGAAACATTAAAATATCATTTAGGAAATTTCAGAGACTAAATGCATATGTACCTTGGCGTGGGGCAGACCTTACCCCAGCCAGGCTGGGAACCCAGAAGATGTAAAGGAAAAGACAGGTGCTTCACAACAACACATTTTAAAATGTTGTAACAGGCAAATCCAAATGGCTGGTAAACATGAAAACTCTTCAGCCTAAGCAGTAGCCAGAGCTTGCAAATGAAAGCAAAAATGAAAATCCATTTTTCAAGGGTACCTGGCTGGCTAAGTCGGTAGAGTGCATGACTCTGAATCTCGGAGTTTTGAGTTTCAGCCCCACACTAGGTGTAGAGATTAAAAATAAAAATTAAAAAGAAAAGAAAGGAAAATCCATTTTTCACTGAAGGTGGTAATTTGGACTAGGATGGGAGGTTTCCAGTAAGGAAACTGAAGACTGCTGAGGAATAGGTATTTCTCTCTCTCTCTCTTACTCATGATCAATGGGAAAAAATAAATCACCCTGTGAATCAAAGAAACACAAATCAAAAGAAAACACTACTTTTCACTTTCCTAATTTGCAAAGATTTCTATAAATAATAATGCCCAGTGGACACATATGTGCTGTTGGGGGAAACACAAGATGGTAGAACCTTCTGGAAATCAGTATATCAAAAAACTTTAAGATGTTCATATCTCTTGACTCTGCAATTCCCTGTGATGCATTTATTCTTAAGAAATAGAAACTCGGGACGGGGGATCCCTGGGTGGCTCAGTGGTTTAGCGCCACCTTTGGCGGGGGCATGATCCTGGAGTCCTGGGATCGAGTCCCACATCGGGCTCCCTGCGTGGGCCTGCTTCTCCCTCTGCCTGTGTCTCTGTCTCTCTCTTTCTCTCTGTGTCTCTCATGAATAAGTAAATAAAATCTTAAAAAGAAATAGAAACTAGTACAACAATGCACAAATTGGGGGCACCTGGGTGGCTCAGTGGTTGAGTGTCTGCCTTCATCTCAGGGCGTGATCCCAGGGTCCTGGGATCAACAAAACAAAGCAACACACAGATAGATGTTTAATAGGTAGCACTAATCAGGAGGAAAACAATCAACAGGCTAGAGCAATAATCTCCTGACTATGACTTTTCAACAATATATATGCTTTCGGTGCTAATGTATTATACAATGTACACAAAAGAAATTTTAAAAGGATAAATTAGAATCCAACATTTTCTTCCCACATATCAATGGAGCATTTCCTGGGGGATACATACCTTACCCTGGAGACCACCCATCTGGTCTGTCCGTGGTAAGAAGTATCAAGGTTAGCTGGTGCAAAAGGAACGTGTAAAGTCAACGAATTCTGTGAAAAGTGACCCTTATGCCAAACCTTAAGGAGAGACAGAACAGGTTGGAATAGCCACTGGAACTATAGAATGTTTATGTTCATGGGACGAGAGGTTGGGAAGCAAAAATCTGGTTCTAGTTTGGTTAGAGGTCTTGGTCTTGTCTTGGTCTTGGTCAAGGCTGAATCCTGCTTGTACCCCCTGTACCCTTCTCACCTGTCACAGAGCTCCTCTCCCTTTCTGATATTACAAGTAAAATTCACATGGAAGTGGGGTCAGCAGTAATTAAAAGTTGATTAACACGTGGTCTAAGTGCACATGGGGAAAGCTCTGAGGCATTTGGAAGAGGCAAGGTCACAGGCAAAGAATTCTCATTATCTAATGAAGAGTCCATTGGAGCCTTAAGTTCAGAATGCTCAAGTGTGACTTGTCCCATAGATTCGAGTCAAGACCATGCAGGTGGTCGTATGGCGGCAGCATCACTCCCTCAGAACCTGTGTGTTAGTCTGGAACTGGAGCAATCGCAGTGTCCTGTAGCGCATGCTATTCTCCCTGCCCTGGGAGAGGCGATGGAGGAAGCTCGCAAGAAGCCTTGAGCTTCTCATCAGTCACAAAGCAAACACTGGCCGTTATGCCTCCAGCTTTAAAGGGAAGGTTGATTGTAGGAAAGAAGAAAAGAATCTGAAAGAATTCCCTCGCTTAGATATCCACTAACTATAGCCAGTTGAGTCTGACTTAGGGAAGTTCTTGTAGTTCGTCTCCAGGGCACCTGGGTGGCTGAGATGGTTGAGCATCTGCCTTTGGCTCAGATCATGATCCCAGGGTCCTGGATTCGAGTCTCGCATGGGGCTCCCTGCTCAGCTGGGAGTCTCCCTCTCCCTGCCCCACTCCCTGCTCGTTCTCTCTCTCTCTCTCTCAAATAAATAAATAAAACCTTTTAAAAAAATGAACTATATCCATACTGTGCAATTCTAAGTAACAGTCAATAATGAGGATATGTATTCTGATCTGAAAAGATCAAGATATCATCACAAATGCAAGCTGTAGAAAAGGCACAGAATGACGCTCCTGTTTGTGAAAGGCACATAAAATTATGTTTTTATGCAATCTTGTAATAGGAAAGGTAAATCAGGTTCTTGTGTTTCCCCTGTATAATTTCTCACCAGCTTTCTGACCTCAAAGCAAACATGCCCTCGGCCGACTTGGAAGGCGTGGTGACCACGCTGGGGCCCAGTCCATCTATTTCCTATCCCTTTTCCTGCAAAGAGTGTACCTCACAAGTCAGCTCATGATTAATCAGTCTCCCTAAACAAAGAGCAGATATTTATTAAGCATGTGCCATTATGTACACACTCAGTGTCTGGTAGTGAAGGGAATGCCTAAGGAAAGTTGACAGGATTATAATAAGCAACAACGAGAAGCAAGGCAGGTGGAAGGACAGGGAAACCAGAGGAAAGACTCTGTTGAGCCAGGCGGGCCTCATCCTGTTCGAAGCTGTTTGGGGTCTCCCAGAGCCTGTACTCTGTAGGCCAAATTCCTGAGCTTCATATCCAAGACCGTCCATGGTTTGGCTTCCCACATATTTTTCTGATCTCTTCTATTACTTCTTCCCATCGGAGGTTCCAGTGCGTTCTGGCTTTACTCTGGGCCCCTACCTCCCTGTTCACACACTCACTTTTCCATTTGACCTTCCTAAATCTTGCTTCATTTAAAAAGACTCCTGGGGCACCTGGGTGGCTCAGTGGTTGAGCATCTGCCTTCGGCTCGGGTCGTGATCCTGCGGTCCAGGGATCGAGTTCCGCATCAGGCTTCCCGTAGGGAGCCTGCTTCTCCCTCCACCTCTCTCTGTGTCTCTGGTGAATGAATAAAATCTTTTAAAAAATAGTAAAATAAAATAATAAATAGAGACTCCCAAGTTGTTTAACAGGTTTAGAGATTCAGTTTTGCAAGATAAAGAATTCTAGAAATTGGTTGCACAACAACATGAATGTACTTAACTCTGCTAATCCAGACACTTAGAGACAGTTGAGATGGTCAATTTTATGTTACGGGTATTTGACCCGAATTAAAAAAAAAAAAAAGGAATCAGAAGCTGATCTACCTTAAAACAAAACAGAAAAAAGACTCCAGCAAATAGTAGCCCAAATCTTCCCTAACCAAATCCGTCTCTCCTCTGAACTCCAAGATCTCTTAGCTTTACAGCTCACGTGGCTTCCAAGATCATTCACAATCTTCTGTGTTTGGTAACTATTCATTTGTCTTCTCCTCTCACCCCGCCAGTTGGGTTGCAAACATTTTAACAGTGGTAAGTAAATACCTGCTACTAAATATCTGGCCTCAGAACCAAAATCGAAGTGCAGGGGGAATGATAAACCACAGTAACGGCTTTCATGTTAAAAATATTTATTCTTCTAAAAGATCACACAAAAGTTGAGAAGAGAAAGGATGTCGACTAACCTACATCAAAATCTGGGCTGAAAGGACAAAGAGCTGCCTAGATAAGCTGGTAGCTGAGCGAAATGCAGAGATCAAGGGGGCTGCTGGCCAACGGGCCCAGGGGTCTGGGGCAGCCACGGTCACAGGCACTGGGTGCGGTGGGGACGGCACGGCCCGGCTGCTGGCCCCAGTCGTTCCTCCATCTCAGGAAGGAAGAAGCAGGAGCTCACTCCTTAGACATGTTCTTGATGGTCTTGTGCTCCTTCATGGCCTTTTCCCAATCGGTGCCATTGAACTCCTCAACGACCACGCTCCGCACGGTGCCCTCGTCAAGGCAGTGTGGGGCAATCCCTGGGGGAGGTGACACAGAGAAGGGCCCAGGTATGAGTAACAGCAGGCACTGTGCCGGCTCATGGGCAAACCCACACCTGCAGCAGCGACAGCGATCTGCCGTGAAAGCTTCCACAGCCACCGCAGCAGCACCCTGGCTCGCTTGCCCCTCCAGCGGGTGGGGGGTCAGGCTCTTTAAGCCAGGGATGCCAAGGCTGGAGAGCATCCAGTACCAAGCTGAGAGTACAAAGATTCGAGCCCAGGGGGGCACCTGGGTGCCTCAGCAGTTGAGCATCTGCCTTTGGCTCAGACCGTGATCCCGGGGTCCAGGGATCGAGTCCCGCATCAGGCTCCCTGCAGGGAGCCTGCTTCTCCCTCTGCCTGTGTCTCTGCTTCTCTCTCTCTCTGTCTCATGAATAAATAAATAAAATCTTTAAGAGGGGGGGTGGGGAGGACAAAGGTGATGTCATGCCCTCCTTGCACCGTAAGGCACAAAACGGTCATAGTCACAGTGGTGCCACCACAGCTCTGGAGGCTGCAGGAAACAAGACTCCTTGCTCGCCACTTTCCAATCAGTTCACACTACAGCTGGTGGCATCAGAACAACTGTCCTGGGGCTGCGTTCCCTGCTCAGACACAGGGGGACTTGAGGAGGGGTTTGGGGGTTCTCACTGTTTATGTTCTAAACAAACTGAAGCTGGGTTTGTTTTTTTAACTGGATCTCTTTCAACCCATTATCGATACTCTTGTCTGCTTCACTCCCTGAGCCATCCTTGGTGTGAAAACTCCCTCCCCTCCCCTCCCACCCCCACCCCAGGCTCATCTCCTCTCCTCCATACACTGGACAACAACGTCACCCCCAGCAACATGAGCCCCCAGCAACATGCGGCCCAGGCAGCGCCAGCAGATGAAGGCAGGATCTGGATGTTCAAGGACGAATGACCAGAGCCAGTCTCCTATCCCAGCATTTGAAAAGAGCTTTGCTGAAGAGCCCTGTTCTTCTAAGACACATGCGAGAGGGGCCCAGCCAAGCAAGAGGCAAGCCCCATATGCTAGCACCCAGGCTATGATCAGCGTGTGTCCCTATGTCCCCCACGGCTGGGTGGCCCGTTCCCTTCACTTACCGAAGCCTCCAGGGTTTGAGCGGGGAGTGTAAAAGCTCTGAACGCCACATCTCTTACAGAAGGTGTGCTGGGCTTTGTGCGTGTTGAACGTGTATGTGGTTATGCTCTCGGCTCCCTAAGGTAGAACAGGTGAAATAGATGTTCTCCTTTTACAAAGAGAATTTTTTTTGGGGGGTCATCAAAAAAATTAATTCTTTTATAAGGCACAAGGGGGGGAACGCCCTTTTGCAGGGGTCTCAGGATTATGAGGACACGTCCAATCTCCCAAAGAGATAGAGGTGTCTCGAGGACAGGGACCCGCCTACACTGCCCAGAGACGCGTCAGTCTGGAGCACGGCGGCTCACAGCTTCTCTTGGTCAAGTGCACACAAGTGCCTCAAGCTTTCCCAGCTCCGTGGCAAGACAGCACATCCTGTCCATGTCAGGGAATGAAAATGAAAATTTTCACTCAGCCTCAAAGGGGTGACAGCTCACCCTAGGGACAGGCTCCCCACGTTCCCGGCCAGCTCTGCTCACGATCAAAAAACAAGGGTTGACTGTACTTGAATTAACATACAAAGGACCAACTAGGAAAAGAATATTTTCCAGACATCATGGGCAAAAGGCTTGTTTCCATTAGAGAAATACAAACATACTACACATAACACAAACGGGAAACGGGGCAAAAGGACAGAGAGAAAGGAAAACAATTATCTCTTTCACCTAAGAAATGATACACACACTCAGACACGGCAATGAGGTATTTTTTTTTCACCATCAGGTGGACACAAATAAGAGTCGGTTAACTTGGTACTGAGCATGTGGACAAACATATGTATGCTCTCAAATACCAGTCTCAGGAATACAAATTGGCAAAATCTGCCAACATCTATCAAAATTTTAAAACGTATGCATCTTTTAACACAGTAATTCCATTTCTGGAAATTTATCCTACAATCAAAATTCCATATGCATTGAATGACATGTATAATAGACGTTCTAGCACTGGTTAAAACAAGGCTGGGGCAGCCCCAGTGGCCCAGCGGTTTAGTGCCGCCTTCAGCCTGGGGTGTGATCCTAGGGACCCAGGATCGAGTCCATGTCAGCTCCCTACATGGAGCCTGCTTCTCCCTCTGCCTGTGTCTCTCTCTGTCTGTCATGAATAAATAAATAAAATCTTAAAAAAAAAAAAAAGTCTAAAGATTGGAAAAACTGAGAACACCCGTCAAGAGAAGACGGGACAAAGCAATGATGGACATTCATGAAATTGGGACACTGAAAATTTAAAAAGAACGAGACAGGCTTGCCTGGGTGGCTCAGTCAGTTAGGTATCTGCCTTCAGCTCAGGTCATGATCCCAGGGTCCTGGGATGGAGCCCCACATCCCTGCTCAGTGGGGAGCCTGCTTCTCCCTCTCCTCTGCGCCACCCCCTGCTTGTGCTCTCTTTTTCTCAAATAAATAAATTAAATTTTAAAAGGAAAATGAATGAGCCAGTTCTACTTCCAAATACTAATACAAACAATCTCCAAGGTTAAACATTAAGTGAGAAAGCAAGGCATAAAATAATTTGTGGGGCACCTGTGTGGCTCAGTGGTTGAACATCTGCCTTCGGCTCAGGGCAAGGTCCCAGGGTCCTGGGATCGAGTTCCACATTAGGCTCCCCCCCAGGGAGTCCCTGCTTCTCCTGCCTGTCTCTGCCTCTCTATTTGTGTCTCTCATGAATAAATTATTTATTTATTTTATTATTTATTTATTTTTTAAAGATTTTATTTATTTATTCATGTGAGACACAAAGAGATTGAGAGGCAGAGACACAGGCAGAGGGAGAAGCAGGCTCCATGCAGGGAGCCCCATGCAGGACTCGATGCCGGGACTCCAGGATCACATGCTGGGCCAAAGGCAGGCGCCAAAACGCTGAGCCATGCAGGTGTCCCTCTGATTAATAAAATTTTTATTTTAAACCTTAAAAAATATGGGGTGCCTGGGTGGCTCACTTGGTGAGTGTCTGCCTTCGGCTCGGGTCATGATCTCAGGGTCTTGGGATCAAGCCCCATATTGGGCTCCCTACTGAGCAGGGAGCCTGCTTCTCCTCTTCCTCTACCCCTCCCTCCTGCTTGTACTCTCTCTGTCTCTTTCTCTGTCAAATTATACAATCTTTATTTAAAAAAAAATCTTTATAAAAAATCTTAAATAATAATAATTATTATTTGTTTAGTATATTATTATTTCTATTTATTTTTTACCATTTTTAGTTTTTAAAAAAGGATGTATCCTGGTATATGCATATATAAATATGTATATGTTTCTTTACATATATAATTTATTTTTATTATTATTATTTTTTTATTTATGATAGTCACAGAGAGAGAGAGAGAGGCAGAGACACAGGCAGAGGGAGAAGCAGGCTCCATGCACCGGGAGCCTGACGTGGGATTCGATCCCGGGTCTCCAGGATCGCGCCCTGGGCCAAAGGCAGGCGCCAAACCGCTGCGCCACCCAGGGATCCCTACATATATATTTATAAAGAAATATCCAAGAAGCAGTGGTTTCCAACTAGTGAAATTGTGTGGCTGAAGGGTCACGGGTGAAGGTTCTTATCAGAGCTGGACGTTTTCATTCTTTCCCCCACCTACCACCCACCACCGTGGGAGAGAAAGGCCCCCAGAGCTCTGTGCCTCATGTAAAAATAGTTCTGAGGGGCCTCATCTCACATCACAGCCTCTACACAGAGAAGCAGCAAAGAACAACTGCCGGTGGTCCTAAAGCATCCAGAGTTTTCTGATCAGATACTTTCCCCCATGAAATGAGGAGGAGCAGCGAGGAGGGAGGGGCTGCTCCATCCCCTACTCTACCTTGGGCATTACTGGAGGTCACTCGGGGACATCCAGACCCCTGTTCCCATGTTATTCTGTGCACCCGCCCACTTCCCACCAGAACTCACGGCCTGTCACTGTCACACTGCCATGTACTCAGCCTTTTTGGTGACTGTTTTCTTGGCCAATCAGAAACCACCAACACCACCATGTTGGCCAATCTAAAGGTCACTTTTCTTGACCATTAGATTCTTAACCTGACCTCTCAGGACTAGTCCTTCCATTTTGAAACAAGGGTCTCTGAGGAGACCACCCTCGAACAATTTTCCTCCTCCCCCACTGGCCATCCTTCTCAGGCCCCTCTGGTCAGCTCTGACCTCGGCCTCTCCCTTCACTGGCTACATCAGCAGCCACCCACCGCACCCAGTCTCCCAGCCATAAACACCAATACGCAGCCCTGCTTGCTCTCAACGCCAGACTTACACATCCAGCAGCCTACTTCCTATCTTATCTCTGCAAAGGTTCACGACGTCTTCAGCTTTTCCAAGAAAGAACCCCTGATGCCAGCAGTGCTCCACACCTGCTTCTCCCCCCGGATCTGGTATCCCCATCACTGAGCTGCTCAGGCCCCACATTGTAGGGGCAACTCTTCTGCCTCTCTTTTCCTCCTCTTCACATCCATCCTTTACAGGATTCCGTTCACCCTTCCTCTGAAACTGTGGTTCTCACAGTATGGCCCCAGGACCAGCAGCAACGCCATGTCCTGCAGCCTTGTAAGAAATGTCAATCTTGGGGTCCCCCTCCTAGATCTAGAGAATCAGGAGTGGGGCCCAGCAATCTCCCTTAACATGCCCTCCAGTGGTCACGTGCACACGGAATCATGAGAGCCACTTCTCCAAAATAAATCTCAAATATCTGTTTTCTTTCCATCTCCATGACCACTGCCCTAATCCAAGGTCCCATCACCTCTCACCTGGCCACCCCAGCCACTCCCTAGCCACCTCCCTGTCTCACACCTACCTCCCCACAAGCCATTCCCCACACAGCAGCCAAAGTGAACTTTTAAAACATTGAAGGAGGGGCACCTGGGTGGTTCAGTTGGTTGAGCATCTGCCTTCAGCACAGATCACGACCCTGGGGTCCTGGGATCAAGCCCCATGTCAGGCTCCCTGCTTAGTGGGCAGTCGGCTTCTCCCTCTCCCTCTGCCTGTCACTCCCCCTGCTTGTTCTCTCCCTCTCTCTGTCAAATAAATAAATAAATAAATAAATAAATAAATAAATAAATAAATAAAATAAATCTTAAACAAAAAAACGTTGAAGCAGGCCTTGTTACTATTCTGCTCAAAACCCTTCATGGGCTTCATACTACACAAAGCATAAAATCTGTCTGCTTGTCTGGTCCTGCTTCTTTCCCCAATCCCATCTGGTCCACCTCTTCACCTGCACCCCCAGACCACGTTCCAGCCACGATGGCCGCTGTTCAGCTCCTGAGGCATGCCAAGCACATGCCCCGCTGCAACACACTTTCCTCATGCCTGGGATACTTCCAGCCCCCTGCTCCCCTACATCCTTATCATACGAACACCACAGAGACCTTCCCTAACCAATCTAAACCAGCCACCTGGCAACCTATCACATTGCTCTATGTTAATGCTCTATGCAGCACTACTAAACTTTTTCTTATTTATCTGTCTCCTCTGCTTAAAAAAAATATGTTCCAAGAGAACAAGGAAGGGCCTTCTCTGTCACAGTTAGCTGATGGGTTTCAATGGATCAGTGCCAGGCACACAGTGGGTGTCCCAGAAATACCCGCTGAATGAAAAAGTTTTGCACTGGAATCCCTGAGTGGCTCAGCGGTTTAACACCTTCGGCCCAGGGCATGATCCTGGAGTCCCGGGATCGAGTCTCACATCGGGCTCCCTGCATGGACCCTGCTTCTTTCTTGCCTAAGTCTCTGTGTCTCTCTCTTTCTGTGTCTCTTATGAATAAATAAATAAAATCTTAACAAAAAAGAGAGAGAAAAGAAAAAAAAAGTTTTGCACTTAATTTAAAAAAATAGGGGCGCCTGGGTGGCTCAGCTGGTTAAGCATCTGACTCTTGATCTTAGCTCAGGTCTTAATCTCAGGATTGTGAGTTTAAGCCCAGAGTTGGGCTCCGTGTTGGGTGTGGAGTCTACTTAAAAAATAGGGGGCGCCTAGGTGGCTCAGTTGGTTAAGCATCTGCCTTTGGCTCAGGTCATGATCTCAGGGTCCTGAGGTCAAGCCCTGCATCGGGGTTCCTGCTAGGTGGGGTGTCTGCTTTTCCCTCTGCCTACTGCCCCCCCGCCGTTTGTGTTTTTTCTCTCTCTCTCTAATAAGTAAAATCTTTTTTTTTTTCTTAAGAATTTATTTATTCTTTAAGAGACATAGGAAGAGGGAGGAGAAGCAGGCTACATGCAGAGAGCCTGATGTGGGACTCGATCCCAGGAACTCTGGGATCACGCCCTGAACCAAAAGCAGACACTCAACCACTGAGCCATCCATGCATCCCCAAATAAATAAAATCTTAAAAACAGAAAAAAAACAAAAATCAACACAACATAAAATAGCTCCTACAATAGGCTGGGGCTGAGTATGGTACTCTAGGGCACTAAGAAAATGCATTCATAAGCAGGCCCAAGGAGGGGGAAAAAAAAAAGAGGAAAAAAAATACCAATTCTGAGACCCAAGAGCTTATGGCTGTACCTGGTGGCATCTTCAGGAACCATCTCACGGATGCTCAGGGGCAAGCGCAACTGGGGCCACAGCCTCTAGCATGTTTCCGAGCAGAGCACACGGGCATTTTCTGGGTTTACAGGGAAGACAGGGAGAAGTGTGCTGCCCAAGTGTCCCCCTCATCCACCAGGCACCCACACGAGGGATAAAGGGGGAGACAAAGAAAAGGAGACAAGGTGGCCCAAAGTGTCTGGGATTAAAGCTCACTCGTTAGGAAAGACCAGGACTCATGCATTCATTTACTAAGTCCATTGTTCCTTCCAGACGCTGAGTGCTGTGCTCGCTTCAGCAGCACATACACCAGACGCTGAGTGCCTATTCATTGCCAAGTCTGCGAGGCCAGGAGCTTGTCAGATATGACAAAAGATGGCACTTGGAGATCCTAACAATTTAATAAAGGAGACAGACGTGGAAACACACCAGTACACAAAGACACAGCGAAGTGTGTCTGACCACAGTGGGGGTAAGGGGAACCAAGGATGGAATTAAAGCCCCAGCCGACCCCATATTAGTGACAGTGTCCCAAAAGCCTTCCCTAAGAAGCTTACATTCTTTGACCAGAGATTTTATTTCTAAAAGAACAGATCCAAAAGAAATAACTTCTAAATTACTAAAGATTTATACACAGGGAGGTTCACCACAGTGTTGTTTATAATTGGGGGAAAAATGGTACACAACCTAGAAGTTTAAATATAGGAAACTGCTTATTGTACATTCATATAACAAAATATGCTGCAAATATAGGAATAACAGTATAAATAAATTAGGAAATGATTGAGGGAGAGGAAGAGATTCAGGGACTGAGGAACAAGGGAGGGAAGACTCACTTTTGTACCTTTCAAAATCTGTACCAAGCACAAAAAAATTTCCCCGAAATAATAAAGTTAAAATCAGCAAGACCTATCAATATGCTGCCTACAAGAGACTCCCTTCAGACCTAAAGACACCTGTAGACAGAAGGTAAAGAGATGGAAAAACAATGACCATGCAAAATGGAGGCAAAAAGAAAGTGGGCAGAGCCATACTGACATCAGACCAAATAGACTTAAACACAAAGACTGTAACAAGAGACAGAGAAAGACACTACAAATGACAAAGGGAACAATCTAACAAGAGGATGTAACAGTTGTAAATATCTATGCACCCAACATAGGAGCACCTAAATCCATAAAGCAAATAAAGAAATTGACATAAAGAAATTGACAATAACACAATACTAGGAGGGGGGTTTAACACCCACTACATCATCACCCAGACAGAAAATCAACAAGGGAACAGTGGCTTTGAAACATAATTTGAGGGATCCCTGGGTGGCGCAGCGGTTTAGCGCCTGCCTTTGGCCTAGGGCGTGATCCTGGAGACCTGGGATCGAGTCCCACGTCAGGCTCCCGGTGCATGGAGTCTGCTTCTCCCTCTGCCTGTGTCTCTGCCTCTCTCTCTCTCTGTGTGTGTGACTATCATAAATAAATAAAAATTAAAAAATAAATAAATAAAATCTATATTAAAAAAAAAAGAAACATAACTTGAGTATATGGGAGTGAGTTTACTTCTGAGCCTTTATTCTTTTCTATGGATCTACATCTATCTGACCATGTTAACACAGCCTTGATGACTGTCTATAGGAGGAGCTTTCATACCAAGTGGAGTTAGCTTCTCCTACTTTATTGTTCTCTGTGGAGACTGTTTTAGCTATTTTAGGGCCTGTATATTTCCATACACATTTTAAAGTAATCTTGGGATACCTGGGTGGCTCAGTCAGTTAAGTATCCAACTCTTGGTTTTGGCTCAGGTCATGATCTTGGGGTCGTGGGATCAAGCCCCACGTTGGGTTCCAAGCTCAGCACAGAGTCTGCTTGAGATTCTCTCTCCCTCTCTCTCGGTCCCTTCCCTACTCATGCTCTCTTTCTCTCAAATAAATAAGTCTTTCTAAAAAATTTACAGTAATCTTGTATATGTCTGCAAAAGCCTTCTTGGGATTTTGATAGAAACTGCATTAAACCTATAGACAGTTTGGAGAGGATGAACACCAATACTATGCTGAGGTTTCCAATCAACAGACACATGATTTCTACCCATTAAGTTCTTCTTTATTTTTTTTTTAATTTTTTTTAATTTTTTAAATTTATTTATGATAGTCACAGAGAGAGAGAGAGAGAGGCAGAGACACAGGCAGAGGGAGAAGCAGGCTCCATGCACCGGGAGCCTGACATGGGATTGGATCCCGGGTCTCCAGGATCACGCCCTGGGTCAAAGGCAGGCGCTAAACCGCTGCACCACCCAGGGTTCCCTAAGTTCTTCTTTAGTAACTTCATTAGCTTTCTGTAATATTCAGTACATGGATCAGGGACATGTTTTGTTAACTGAACACCCAACTAATTTTCTTTGCATTACTTGAAATGGCATGATGTTTTTATTTTTTTTATTATTTTTTATTTTTTTATTTTTTTTTAATCTACGATAGTCACACACACAGAGAGAGAGAGAGAGAGAGAGAGGCAGAGACACGGGCAGAGGGAGAAGCAGGCTCCATGCACCGAGAGCCCGACGTGGGACTTGATCCCGGGTCTCCAGGATCGCGCCCTGGGCCAAAGGCAGGCGCCAAACCACTGCGCCACCCAGGGATCCCTGGCATGATGTTTTTAATTTCAGTTTCTTGGTGTTCATTCTTAGTATTAGAAATGCGCTCAATTTTTAAAATTGGGATGTAATTCACATGCCATAAAATTCACCATTTTAATGTGTATTGCTGCATTATTTACAACAGTCAAAACATGGAAACAACCTAAGTGTCCCCGGATGAGTGAATGGATAAAGAAGATGTGATACAAACACATACCACACACACACATACAAACACACATAGGAACACTATTCAACCATTAAAAAGAATGAAATCTTGCTATTTGTGACAACATGGGAATTATACTAATTGAAACAAGTCAGACAGAGAAAGACAAATACTATATAATTCTACTTACATACAGAATTTTATAAACTAAACAAAAAACCAAGCTTAGAGAACAGACTGCTGATTGCCAGGGACAGGGGTAGGCAGGCAAAATGGGTGAAAGAGGTAAAAAAAAAAAAATGGGCATGCAAAAGTAATAGCATGGTGACCACGGCTAATAACACAGTTGTTGCGTATTTGAAAGCTGCTAAGAGAATAAACCTTTAAAGTCCTCATCACAAGAAAAAAAAATTATTTTGTGATTACATATGATGTCAGATGTTAACTAGACCTAATTGTGCTGGTTACTTTGCAATATATACAAATACTAAATCATTCTGATGTACCCCTAAGACTAATAATGTTATGTCAGCTGTACCACAATAAAATTTTTAATTCACCATTAAAAAAAATCTGTTTAAAAAAAAAATCTGTTTAAGTCATACGTTCTTCTTCATTGGGAAATGATAAAAGTCAGTTACAAAACAGAAAAAGGTAAAATCCTACTTTCATAACGACATATACAGTGTTGTCATTATTATTATTTAGATGTATTTACAGTGGAAAATAACACACAAGGATATCCACCCAAATAGGGCAGTGGTTATCCTTGGTTGATAGGATTTGGGTGGTCGCATTTATTTTTTATTCCATTTTTAATGTTTCCACAGTAATATCAAATGGGCATCCAAAATATAAAGGGAAAAAATAACAGAACATTCTAGAAATATGCTTGAAACCCAGGTTGATGAGGAAAATTCAAACCCCCTGTAGAGGTCCCGCTGTGCTCCCTGCCATCTGGCACCCCCCACGGCACATGCTGTAAGCCAGGGGCTCCCCTGGCCTGCTCTGAGCACTAACCTTCAGGAGCTTGAAGCGAGAAGCCGGGACAATGAAGTGTCTATTCTGCTTCTTCTTACAAATGCTGCAGCTACAAAAAGAGGAATTCCCAAGTTGAGAACAAGGACCTGTGCCTTCTGAGAGCCCAATGGGACCCAATCCAATAAATCCTGAGAGCCGGATGACCCCACAGGTGAAGCCTCTTTCAGCGTTATTCAGGGAAAGGGGGGAGCCCAGGCATATGGACAGGCCAGCTGGGGCCTCTCCTCAGCAATCAAAGCCACGCACCCCTCGGAAAACCAGGATGTCACCACCACGTTCCTACTGCTCACTCCCCAGTTTATTACAGTGAAGGAACTCATTGGATTCTAGAGACACTTACAAAACAAACATCCTGCAGAGCTACAATCTTATGCCTCCAGGATACACCAAAAATGGACAAGGAAGCCTCCGTTTCCTGCTTTCCTCATCTGTACATCATGGAACGCCTAGCTCCAAGTCAAATGGGCCCTCAGAATTATCACCTTCGGAATTCAACCTAAATGCCCTTTACTGGGGTGCCTGGGTGGCTCAGTCGGTTGGGCAGCTGCCTTCGGCTCAGATCATAATCGTGGGGGTGGGATTGAATCCTGCTTCTGGCTCCCTGCTCAGCAGAGAGCCTCCTTCTCTCTTTCTCTTACCCTCTGCCTCTCCGACTGCTTGTGCTCAAGCTCTCTCCCCTTCTCAAATAAATAAATAAAATCATAAAAAATAATCAATCAATCTCCTTAGTCTACATTTACAAAAATTTCTACTTTCCCACAGAACTCTCTAACAAGCTGTTCCACGGGGCTTCTTCTGCAATCTGGACTCCACCAGTCAGTTCTCCATTTGAGTAATTCCAGGGTATTTATTTATTACTCGTGTGTACTTCAGGTACCACACCACCTAGGGGCAAAAAGGCCTGGATCCTGTTGAACAATTAGAAGCTAACTATTGGTTCAGAAGTCAGTGTCCTTGTTCTGTCACAAGGGAAGCTGCTAGAAAGCAGGCTCTCCACAGATCCCGGCAGAACCATCTGCCTCATCTAGAACAGAGCCAGAGGGCCTGGAATGTGGCAAGCTTCCGGGTGCGCACACTCTTATTCACTTCCCCTCCGAGTGGACTCCAGTGAAGACTCTGCCCAGCCAAGGCTTTCCATTCAGTGCCCGCCTGACCTAATCTCAGGCTCTAACCAGTCCCTGTCCATCTAGCAACAGGACAGTCAGTCTGAGGGGTGATGCTGAACAGCAGGAGCTGGAGCACTCTGCTGTGTCAACCGGGGCTACGCTGTAGGAGCTCGCTCACTCTCTCTCTCTCATGCACACACATGCACACACACACAGAGCAGGCCCAGTTATTTTTAGTACACCCCCCCCCCATATTTTTAAAATTTTATTATTGAAAACATCTAGGCACATACGAAAGGGGAAAAAGAACAATGAACCCTCTGTACCCATCACCTGAGGCCAGCAATGATCAGCTCACAGCCGATGCTGCCTCACCAGGACCCTGACTCCCCAGATGATGCGGAGATGCTGTGTTTTAACTCTTACTCTTGGGGAGAGAAAACACTCACTTGCAGTCAAAGATGTGCAAGTCGGCTGAGGCCCAAACTTCAAAGCGAACTGCTCCACAGTGGCAGCCTCCCGTATGCTTCACCAGGCCCTGGTATTCACTAAATGAAACAAGAAAACATCAGAAAGATAAGGATTTCTGAACAGTTGGGCCAGACCTAAGCACGCAGCTCATGCCTTTTCTCCCTCTTGTTGTTGCTAGAAGAAGGAAGCAAGATGGGACGAAAGTCTCCCCTACGTGACTGCCCCAGGTATTTCTGTTTTGGAAGCCAGAGTAGCAATTTTATTTAAAAAAAAAAAAAAAAAGTATTCAGTGTCTTCTTTTCTATGACCTCTCACTTCTATTTCTTATATCCTCGTAAGTTGTAAAGTAAAACATTGCCGAAAATAGAGAAAATAGGAGTTGGGTAGAGGATCCTGATCCCGCTGTTCAAACATTTTTATTTACATGCTACTTACTAAGATTTTTTTTGTGTGTGAGCTAGGCACCAGGGAGAGCAATAAACAAGATACAGCAGATAAGCTTCTGCAGCCATCCAACAAATTACCCAAACAATATTTAAGGGACTGTGATAAAGGCAGTGCGGGATGCTATGAAAAATAAGAGGAGAGGAACTGAGTCTGTTGTTTGGAAAAACCTTCTTCTGAGAAAAACTCTTGGAGTTTTGGTATATTCCCCTCCGGTATGTTTGCACATCCAGGACTCTTTACAGAGCTATCCATACACATTACATACTATCTTAATCCTTTTAAAACATATATAAGCCAGGCTCTTAGTTGAGCATTATTCAGTTTGAAAAATATCAAATTGCACTCCAACAGGACTAAACGCTTCTCAGTAAAGACAAAACATTTCACTGTACCTGCTCAAGCAACGATTACAGGAAAAATAGCCTACGGCAGTTTTAAATCAACATTTTTTTTATTACTAAGGCTGAATGCTTTTCCATGTTTCTTTACAAGTTGAATCAGTTAACTTGATGTATTTGAAATCTTTTCTGCACACACAAATAATGCTCATTGTAAAAAAATTAGAACATTACAACATGTGATAATATTAAAAAGCAAAGTCTCCTATAATCTTAACAGCTGGAGGGATCCACAGTTAACCATTTGCTATATATTCCTCCGGACTTCTTTATATACAATAATATTTTAACAAAAACAGTGCAGAGTTACACATTCTTTTTGCATATAAGTTAATTCAGTGAGTTTGGGTTATTTAAATAAGTGTATGTACTCATGCCAATCTGAAAGGTTAAAAAAAAAAAACACTTGTCTTTCAGCAACATTTAAAAATCCTTTTCATGACCATTTATCAAGTTTGTTTTAAAGGAAAAGTTTACTTCGAATTTGAGTGTCACATTTCTGAGAATCTTTATATCCTCTACACTTAGCAACTTGTGGCAATAGAACAGGGGCTCAACAATGTCTAATGATGAATATATTAAAAAAAAAAAAAAGTTCAGCCCATGATCCACGATGATAAACCAGAAAGTGAAGCACACAGGAAACCAAGTATTTCATCTCTGAGAAGACCGGTCCTAAGAGAATTTCTTCTGGATTAAGGACAAAAGAACATTTTCGGTCAAGAAAGAAGTAAAGAAAGGAGTAGCTGTCGGGTTGTTATGCAATTGTCAGGTTATCCCTGTTGTTGTTGTTTCCCGTGGTGTTGACTGCTCTTTGTAATTCACCGGATAATGGACGCGGAGATGGGTTACTGGGGTACTAAGACCTCTCTCCGGAGCGCGACGGTGCCACAGGGCAGGCGTCTGGACGTTATTACATTTGGAAAAAAACAAGGCAGCCCCGGTCAGGGGTAATAGCTCATCTGGAACCTCACGGACACTCTGAAATCCTCCCCTGGAGGTTCTCGTCCTGCGGCAGCGACGCTGGGGGAGCGCGAAGCAGAGCGGGCCCCCGGGAGCATCAGTCGGCGGAGAGCCCAGCCCCCCCGCGCCCCGCGCCTCCCCCCGGTACCCGCCGCGGTCCTCAGGACCCAGCATCTCTGTGCGCGCGCTTCTTCCCGGGGTCGATCCCGCTCCGCTCCCTCCCGGGGAGCGCCTGGAACAATAACGGGATCTCGCCTCCCGGCGGCTGCAAAACTATTCGCCTTTTCTCCCCTCCCTCTCCCGCCGCCGCCTCCCCCTCCCACCCACTCTCCAAAAACACGTGCGCAAATATGAAAAAGCGAGTCAGGTGGGAGCCAAGTCGTGGGGTTGATCTTCTTCTCCCCGGGAAGGGTCCCCGCGGCCTTGGCGCGCCAACAGCACAGAGAGCGTCCCGAGCACCATGGCTGTGCCCGCGAGAGACCCTTTGTGTCCCGGGACACGCTCCGGGGGCGCAGCGCCCCGTCCGAGCAGGGGCGCGCCCGGCGCTAACCCGCTAACCCGGGCGACGCGGAACAGCGGCCCCGGCCCGACAGGCGCTCCCGCCCCGAGGGGTCCGCGTGGCGCCGGCCGCCGCGCCCGGCCCCGCCGCACTCACAAGGTGTCCAGCAGCAGCTTGGCAGCGCCCTCGAAGGTGAGCCTCTGCCGCTTCTGGAACGTCTCCCAGCGCTCCCGCTGGTCGCCCAGGTCCGGCAGCGAGGCCGCCGGGCTGGCGGAGGTCGGCAGCGGGAGCAGCGGCAGCTCCGGCGGCGCCTGCCCGGGGCCCGCCTCCTGGGCCCGCGGCGACGACTGCTTCGGCCGCGGCTTCGCCGACGGCTGCCTCGCCGCCGCCCCGCTCTCGCCCCCGGCCTGGCTCGCGGAGCGCCGGGCGCGGCTGGCGCCGGGGGCCGGGGGCGCGGCCGGGGGGGTCCCGGAGGCTCGGGACCGATTCTGCCCGCGTGCCTTGGCGGCGGAGGAGCTCCTCGTCCGCTGCATGGCTCCCGCAGCCGGGCGCGCAGGCCTCGCCGCCCGCGCGTCCCCGCCCCGCCCCGCGCGCGCGCCCGCGCCGCCCCGCGCGCGCCCCCGCCCGCCAGCCGAGCGGCCCGCCCAGGGGGCGCTGCACCCGCGGCCGCGACCCTGGCCCCCGGCCCCTGGCGGAGGCCCGGCTGCAAACCCCAGAGCCCGCGGGCCCGCGCGCCTCGGGGCCCGCGCGCCTCGGGGCCCGCACCTGCCCGCTCCATCCCGCAGGCCTCACGGGACCGCGCGTCCCGCCTCGGCTCCCGGCGCCCAGCGAGCCCACGGGCACCTGCGGAGGCGCCTCCGCCGTCTCTGAATCCAGAGGGCTTCTTCCTACCTTCCTGACCCGGGGGATCCAGGGTCAGCCCTGAATTCACGCCCACAACCGAGCATCCAGGCTGGGGGGACCTCGTGTTTGAGATGCCGGGAGGCCGGCCGCACCTGCCTTTCGAGAGTCATCGTGCACCCAGAACCAACTAACACGCGTGCACGGCCAGGCACCTGCTCTCTCTGCCAGACAAACAGCACCTGAAATCTGCTGTTGCGCTCGGTCTCTCTGACCAGGTCATAAAACAATGTCTGGAGGATGTCAGTGCCCAACAGATTTTTTAAAGATTTAATAAATGAACGAACCGCACCAAGTTCCATTGTCATGGGGGCACAGCACCAAGTTTCAAGACAAAAATCACAAGGACCATTGATGGAACCCAGGTCTTTTCTTTTCTTTTTTAAGATTGTATTTATTTTTTCATGTGAGAGGCAGAGACAAAGGCAGAGGGAGAAGCAGGCCTCCTGCGGGGAGCCCGATAGAGGACTTGAACCCAGGACCCCAGGATCACGCCCTGAGATGAAATGAAGGCAGACGCTCAGCCACTGAGCCACCCAAGTGCCGGAACCCAGGTATTTTTGAAAACTCTGCTTTGCTCTATTTTATTTGTACCTTCAAAGAAATAACATTTTCTTTTACTTACTTTCCTACTGTTTAATTTTCTACTTCTTTAACTTCAACTTTCCTCTTCATTAATTCTGTTTTTATCTTATTAGTTTAATAGTTTATTGAATTATTTCCTTTAAGATTTTATTTATTTATTCACAAGAGACAGACAGAGGCAGAGACACAGGCAGAGGGAGAAGCAGGCTCCTGGCAGGGACCCTGATGTAGGACTCCATCCTGAGACTCCAGGATCAGGCCCTGAGCCAAAGGCCGACACTTAACCACTGAGCCACCCAGGCATCCCTAATTGTTTATTGAATTAAATAGTTTCTTTATTTCTAGTATTTTTTGGTAATCACGGTATTAATGACTATAAATCTTCCTTTGAGTATGGCTTTAGCTGTGTCTTTAGTGTTTGTTTTTTTTAAGATTTTTATTTATTCGGGAGGGAGAAACAGGCACCCAGATACCCTCCTTTAGTGTTTCATATGAAGTGTTTTTTCCTTAAAAATTTCTAGACAGGGACGCCTGGGTGGCTCAGCGTTTGAGTGTCTGCCTTTGGCTCTGGGCATGGTCCTGGGATCCAGGATCGAGTCCCACATCGGGCTCCCCCCATGAAGCCTGCTTCTCCCTCTGCCTATGTCTCTGCCTCTCTCTCTGTGTCTCTCATGAATAAATAAAATCTTTTTTAAAAAATTCCAGACAACCTGTATTTTTTTTTCTGTTTTCTTTATTGCAGGCATATATAGTTTACATACAGAAAAATACATGTATTTTAAAAAATTTATTTGAAAGAAAGAGCTCACAAGCAGGCAGGAGACACAAAGAGACCTATCCCAGGACCCTGAGATCAGGACCTCAGCAGAAGGCAGACCGCCAACCAACAGAGTCACCCAGGTGCCCCAAAATGCACATGTTTTCGAAAGCAAAGCTTATGTAACCACCACCAGATCAAAGATAGAACATTTCCAGCCCTCCAGAGAAAACGGAGGATCACTATCCTGACTTCTGTCACATAGGTTAGTTTTACCTATTACTGAGTGTCATTTCAAAACAGCTTAGGGATGCCCGGGCGGCTCAGTGGGTTAAGCACCTGCCTTCTGTTCAGGTCATGACCCTAGGGTCCTGGGTTCGAACCCCACATGGGGCTCCCTGCTCAGTGAGGAATCTGCTTTTCCCTCTCCCTGTGCCTCTCACCCCGCTTGTGCTCTCTTTCTCTCTCTCAAATAAATAAAATGTTTTGGGACACCTGGATGGTTCAGGGGTTGAGTGTCTAACTTTGGCTCCGGGTGTGATCCTGGAGTCCTGGGATCGAGTCCCACATCGGGCTCCCTGCATAGAGCTTGCTTCTCCCTCTGCCTGTGTCTCTGCCTCTCTCTCTCTCTGTGTATCTCTCATGGATAAATAAATATCTTAAAATACATAAATAAAATGTTTTTTAAGACTTAAAAATTGAAAAATTAAAACAGCTTGTACTCCTTTACGTCTTCCATTATTCACTCAGCATTATGTTCTTGAGAGTCATCCCTGTTGTTTTGTGTATCGATTGTTTTTTTAGTTGCCATGTAATATTTGATTTATAAATATATCACAGTTTATTCTCCTGTTGATGGACATTTGGGTTGTTTCCAGCTTGGGGACAGCTATGAATAAAGCTGCTATTTACAAAAAAAAAAAAAAAAGCTGCTATTTACATTTACTTGTGTGTACAAACCTTTTTATAAATTCATTTTGGGATATACATGGGAGTGGAATTGCTGGGTCATGGAGTATGTTTTTATAAGAACTGCCAAACAGTTTTGCATAGTGGTTGTACCATTTTATTCTCCACTAGCGATGTAGGAGAATGCCAGGTGGTCCACATCTTCACAACACTGAGTATTGTCACTCTTTTTCAACGTAGCCTTTCTGGCACATGTACCCTGCTATCTCCCTGTGGTATTCTTTGCATGTCCTTGACCTGTAGAGATGCTGAGAACCTTTTCATGTGCTTATTTATCCTTTGGATATCTTTTTCTGTAAAATGTCTGTGGACAGACACTCCTCTGAGAATTAGCCAGTTTAATAACCGAGGTTGTTTGGTATATAGGAGTTCTTTATGTCTGCATAGGAGTTCTTTGCCATACATATATATTTAGAATATATACTCCTGGTTGTGGCTTTCCTTTTCACTTTAAATATCTTTTGATGAGCGGAGATATTTTTATGTTATGGTTAGTGTTTTTCGTGTCATGTTTTAAAGATCTCCCACCCCAAAGGTCATAAAGATTTTCTCCTATCTTTTCTTCTAGAAGCTTTCATACTTAAGTGTATGATCCATCTCAAATTATGGGCACCTGGGTGGCTCAGTGACTGAGCATCTGCCTTTGGCTCAGGGCGTGATCCCGGGGTCCTGGGATCGAGTCCCACATCAGGTTCCCCACAGGGAGCCTGCTTCTCGCTCTGCCTGTGTCTCTGCCTCTCTCTGTGTGTCTCTCATGAATAAATTAATAAAATCTAAAAAATGAAGTTAATTTTTGTGTAGAGTGTGAGGCAGAGGCCAGATTCATCTTATTTCCATATAGATATCCAGTTGCTGACCTACTTACCTTTCTTTACACCAAGACCACTCTGCCTTACTTAGCTTACTTAGTCTTGAAATCAGAATAGGCCTTCCAGATTCATACTTCTTTGGGATTGTCTTCACCTTTTCAAGTCCTGTCCATTTCCATATAAAATCAGCTGTTAATTTCTACCAAAAAAGCCCACTTGATACTCTATGCTATGAATTATACTCCTATGAAAATTACTGAATTCCTCAAATATTCCTTACCTTCTTACTTTCTTTTTTTTTTAAGATTTTATTTATTCATTAATGAGAGACACAGAGAGAGAGGCAGAGACACAGGCAGAAGGAGAAGCAGGCTCCCTGCCGGGAGCCCGATGCTGGGACTTGATCCCAGGACCCCGGGATCATGCCCTGAGCTAAAGGCAGACACTCAACCGCTGAGCCACTCAGATGCCCCTGTTCCTTTCTTTTTATTCTTTGACTACTACTCATCTGAGAGGGAGACCAACTAATTTTCCTATTATTCTAATCATTCCTTGACTGAATCAAGTCAACTTCACTCCTTGCATCAGATTATTCCAGACACACACCTTTTTTTTAAATAAAAGATTTTATTAAATAAATAAATAAATAAATAAATAAATAAATAAATAAATAAATAAATAAATAGGATTGTATTTACTTAAGAGAGAGAGAGCGAGAGAGCAGGGGCAGAGACAGAGGGAGAGAAGTAGACTCTTTGCTGAGCACCAGACCTGAGGAGGGGCTCAATCTTATGACCCTGAGATCATGACCTGAGCCTAAACCTTAGTCTGACGCTCAACAAACTGAGTCACCCCAGTGCCCCAGGCATACACCTTTTTTTTTTTTTTAAGATTTATTTGAGAAAGGGAGCATGAGGGGGTGGGCAGAGGAAGAGGGAGAGGGAGACTCTCCACTGAGCAGAGAGCTGGAAGTGGGGCTGGATCCCAGAACCCTGAGATCATAACTTGAGCTAAAGGTAGACACTCAGTGGACTCTCTCTCTCTCTGTGTATCTCTCATGGATAAATAAATATCTTTATTTATTTATCACCTAGCCACCTGGCACACACCTTCTTAATTGTGTTCTTGGGCTAGGCGTGTGCAGTCCCTCTCAATTTTTTTCTCCACTTCGAGCCAACTTAATATTATGATGTCTGTAAAATAAAATCCTAGAGCACCTAGCTAACTCAGTAGGTAGAACAGGTGACTCTTAATCATGGGGTCATGAGTTCAAGTCCCATGTTGGCAGCAGAGTTTACTTGAAAAGTAAATAAATACATGTCTTAATTCATGCTTTTCTTTTTTAAATTGGGCTGTCTTACATCTACTGAAGTGTTTTTACATACATACACAGCTTCATAACCACCACCCATATCCAAATATGAAATATTTCCCAGCATCTTAAAACAGTCCTTTGGGTAGCCCCGGCGGCTCAGCGGTTTAGAGCCACCTTCAGCCCAGGGCGTGATCCTGGAGACCGGGGATAGAGCCCCACATCAGGCTCCCTGCGTGGAGCCTGCTTCTCCCTCTCTCTCTGTATCTCATGAATAAATAAATAAAATATTAAAACAAAGAAAACAAAACAAACAAAAAAAAAACAGTCCTTTGTCCTCCTTCCCAGTCAATCCTAAGGAAAACCACTACTCTTACTTCACCACCATGATTTTGAACTTCATGTAAATGCATTCAAACAATATGTGCTCATGTGTATGACTTCCTTTACTTGATGTTGTATCTGCGAGTTTCATCCATGTACTCATGGTTCATTCATTTTCCTTGTTATATCATATTCCAGTATATGAATATATGACCTTTTATTTATCCTTTTTGCTATTGAAGGAGATTCTTTAGTGTTTCCAGTTTGGGGCTATTATAAAAATGCTGCTGCGATTTAAAAAAAAATTAGGGGTGTAATCTCTAGACCCAATATGGGGCCTCAAACTCACAATCCAGAACTCAAGTCACATGCTCTTCCAGTTGAGCCAGCCAGGTGCCCCTGCTATTATTTATTTATTTATTTATTTATTTATTTATTTATTTATTTATTATGTTTTTAAAATATTTTATTTATTTATTTGAGAGAGAGCAATCACAAATGGGGCGAGGGGCAGAAGGAGAAGCAGACTCCCTGCTGAGCAGGGAGCCCAACGTGGGGCGTGATCCCAGGACCCTGGGATCACGACCTGAGCTGAAGGCAGATTCTTCACCGACTGAGCCACCCAGGCACCCCTTATTTTATATTTTTAAATAATTTTTTTTAAACAACCGTTTTATTTTTCTCAAGGTCTCATGATACAGGAGTTGTAGAAGGACTTGGCCAGACAGCTGTCGCTTGGCGTCTCTTATGCAATTTCACTGGGATGTCCAC